AATATTAAGTTTGGCCTGCGACTTTGTCCCAGATTTTCATTTCGGCCCAATGTGAATTTGAGTTTGACACCCCTGCTTTAGGAGGTGGGAGGAGTTGTCTACTGTGTCTCCTGTCCTAATGCTGTAACAGTAGATCATTCAGAACATGAGTGTTGCTGCTTCATCTGCAAGGTCAGCTCAGCCTGGAGGGGTATAAATCCAGTTCCTCCTGCTCAGTGACTTGACAGCATTGTTGTAACAAGTCATAATTGAAACAAGTATTACAGCCACACCTTCGAAGACTCTTAAGTTATACAATTTCATATCTTTCTCTGCTTTGTATCTATAAAGGCAAGTAAAACAGATAAAAACTACTTACACAAATAATGAGGAAGGTAGAGCATATTTGGGCAGCAAAACACCAGGGATGTGTATGTAAGATCAACCAGAGTTTCTGCTCCTGTTCGCGTACTCTAGTGTGTGCAGTACAACCTCCCAAGCTGGAAGACCGTGATCCTGTCTCTCAGGGCTTCTGACTGAATGATGTCCTAGTCCAAATCTCTTCAACATCAAGCAGTGACATGTATTAATTCTGTCTTAGCCAAACTCTCAAGGCCATACTTATGTATGCAAAATCCTTCCAGCATCTTTGACACTTGTTTGTCACACCTCAGTGAAAATTTGCCAGAAACTTTAGAAAATATAAGACCTGTCATGTTGGTGTCACGCTTCATGTGCTGGGATTAACTTTCAAATGAAGAAGCATAAATGCTGTGCAGGTAACTGATGAGGAAAACAGAGCAAATTATCAGCTTAACCATCAGTTTGGTACCAAGTTTGACCCCCTTGCTGTCTCCAAAACCACTCTAAGTCTTTAAGGAATGAATTCAACAAGATGTTGGAAATGAGCCACGGAGGTTCTGGTCCGTATTCGTATGACATAATCTTACAGTTACATCCATGAAGTGAATTTTCTGTTTCACCACGTCCTACGGCTTCTGGACTGGACTGAGATCTGGTGACTGTGGAACCCGGAGTCCTGTGAGCTCATTGTCATGTTCTAGATACCACTTAGAGATGATCTGAGCTTTGTGACATGGTGCATTATCCTGCTGGAAACAGGAACAAGGTGATGGGTCTATGTGGTCATAGAGGGATGGACATGGTCAGCAATAATAATCAGGTAGGCTGTGGAGTTTAAACCAGAGTCAGGTGATACTGAGGGGTTCCTACACCATTACACCACCAGCAACACCCGGAGCCATTGATACAAAGGAGGATGAACCCGTTCCAGCCCATCTGCCACCAACATGCATGAGTACTCTGGTGTTCAGTTAAAACATCAACAAGTCGTCGTCATTATGTCCAGATGCTTAAATGATCTATGATGTGTGGATTAGCTATTTCTGCTAAACAAGCAATTCAACACATGCACCTAATAAAGTGGCTGGTGATTGGATAAAATTCCACACAGCAGAAAAGGAAACCTTTATAAAGGTCAATATTCCACTTGCTGTGGGGGTTAAGAAATGAAGCATGTCGTGTTTGGGAAGTAATAAAAGCAACAAAGGAAGATTCCAGTCACCGCTCTACGCAGGAAAGTTACTCAGTAACTGTTCTGACGCTCTGAAACTACATATTAACATGAATGTGTCTCGTTAGCCATTTAATTCTGAGTTCTTGGAAATCAATGTGACACAATTATCATGTAAACGCTTTATTTACTGGCTAAGAGTCTGATTCCTTATTCCACTGTAAACTGACCTGCTCTTGTCACAGCAATCACCATGGGGATTTGATGAAGCCATGTTGAACATTGACTCAATAAAGGGAAGTCTTTATGGCAGGTTATTATAGGGCACTTGATACCACTTTGGGGAAGGTCAATAGCTTGGTTTGAACTGAAGTGTGTGCGGCCAGCTGTAATCACTCCACTCAATAGGCTGCGGTAATTGCAGACCGAGGAGCCCGTCTAATGTGGGTGGACAAACAACCGGCGTGAGGGAAGGGGAGAGAAGAACGTCTAGATTAAATGGGAATAGGCTGATGGAAAGGGTATAAAGTCTTTGGAAGGTTGTTTCACAATGTTGTGCATGCTGGAATTTCAGCTTACTTAAACATCTGGCTGAGATAAAACAACTGGTATTTAGAAAACATTGGTTCCAAAAAAGTCAAAGACTGAACATTCTACATAAGTCACAAAGCTCAAACGGTTGCAGCAGAAGTCAAACATGATCAATCATCTATTTTAGGTGTAAAACTCACTAAATGTGTAGCTTTTATTTAGTTATGAAACTTAATTTTTTCAATGATGCACAAAAAAGTAATTATCCAATACTGGACTGCTGTAAAACACACTAACAAATAGTTTTGTATGCCATCTGTGTTTGGCTAGCTGTAACAATGAAACTGGTAAAAATTCCAAATATCTTAATGAACCCCAGGGCATTTGGGAAAAATATCCTGTGGCCTGATAAGTCACAAGTACAATTTTATGGAAGGTTTAAGTCTTGTTACACTTGAGATAAAAGTTACAGTACATTTTATAATAAAGTGCAAAAGACAAAATCAGGAAATAAAATCAGTAAAATCAAAAGGAGCATCCTTAAAAGCCAGGGAATAAAAGTGAGTTTTTAAATTCTCCAAAGCTTTGCTGCTTAAAGGAGCAACAAGTCCAAATTCTACTGTGAAAAAATCAATAAACAGTCTAATGTCTCAAGGTTACATGGAAACATATTTCATTCTCAGCTGACTGGGGCCTTCTCAGTGTTTCTCCTTCCAAAAAAACATGCAAAAGTAGTAACTGTTTACAGTCAGTGAGATGTGAGGTCGCTGAGTACGCATGAGCTAACGCTGTAGTGCCAACATTTGTAATTTGACACCAGCAGGCAAAAAAGCTCCAGGATTGTTTCTAGAACCAAAGCCAGTAAACAGGAGAGACACATGAGTAATTTAGTGTACGTACCCCTAAGAAGCCACAATGTCCTTTTGATTTACTTTAATACTGGGTAAAGAATATGTCTGTGAAGGTTCTCAGTCATCCAGGTCATTGTAGTCTAATGAGCTTTGAAAGAAAAGCGTCTGGACTTCTTTGAGTTGCTTGAAGACGTTTCACCTCTCTGTGAGAGTAAATCTGGGTAAAGAAGGCTAAAGGCTAACAGTAAGCTAACAATGCTAATGGTGAATAAAAACCAATGTTCTAAAAATATCTCAAGCTACTTTTTCAATAACCAACCACGTGATATGGCAGTGAAATGTGTGTATGTGAAGTGAATGAGTGGACCATGGCATTACTTTAACTATACTAATATACTATAACAGAAGGCTAACGGAAAGACAGTAGACAACTCATCCTTGTTTGTCATCTAGAATCTTCTGGCGCTGATCAAGCCTGACCTGCCAGACTCCTCTGTTTAATTCTGCACAGAGAAAGGGTCTGGGAATTCTCCAATTCAAATAACCCCACCCCGTGAGATTTCTAACCGAGCCAATCAGCGCTGAGTAGCGTACGTCACACACCATAACGCCGAGTTTGTCGAACATGGCAACTGAAGCGGAGTTCGCTGCGGCTCTTTCCTCTGTTCTAAATGACTTGAACACGTCTTTAAAGCAACAAGTAGAAGCGCTAAAAGCCTTTCTTCTAAAGAAAGATGTTTATGCTGTCGCCAGACTCCATTTTTGACTACAGCTAAAAAAAAACTACAGCGTCGCGGACGTCCCACACAGTGACGTTCAGTTTCCCATAAACAACGAAGACAGCGGCGGAGTTCGCTGCGGCTCTTTCCTCTGTTCTAAATGACTTGAATGTATTTAAAACCAAAACAGGTAGAAGCGCTAAAAGCCTTTCTTCTTCTAAAAAAAAAAGATGTTTGCGCCGTTGCAGACAATTTTTTTTTACTACAGCTAGTAAACCACAGCGTCGCGCGGTACAGTTGGCATTTCCGTCTTTTTTCTGATTGGTTATTGTTGAACTGCCTAGTCCCGCCCCTTAAGTGCCTCTCTGCCTGTGAGTTACCAGACTTTCTCTGTGCAGAATTTAACAGAGGACGAGTCTGGCAGGCCAGGCTAGCGTTGATCCACGACTGGCAACAGCTATGGTCAATGGCAGTGAGAAAGGGATTTTTTGCTTAGAAAAATAGACTGCAGTAACTTTTAACTACAGGATGTCATACTCACTTAATTCATACATACTGCACCTTTAAGGACCCGAATGATTTACTGAAACTAATGGAACCATGAATTATGTTCACCATCAGAAAACCCTAAAGGAGAGTGTCTGACTTTTGACCTTTAACTGAGTGTTGATGCAGGAACACCCTCCAATATGACTGACTACCAGTTAACAAAAAGTACTGAATGCAGTTGTTGCCAAGATGTCACGGCCAGTTAGGTTTAGGGGTCAACTACCTTCCTTCAACCTATAAACAGAAAGCAAAACTACTAAAAACATCAAAATCCGTTCAAGTCGCCATAAATAAATAAATGTTGTTTCAAACACTTGTGGACTTAAGAATGTGATGTAAATCATCCTGTGCCTAGTGGTGTGTATCTCTTCACAGAGGCAAAGCATTCATTACAAAATATGCAAAACTTTATTTTTGCATGGCTGCTGGGATGTGATGTCAGACTTGATGTCAGTGAAGGTGGACAAACGGGATGAGATAGCATTTTTCTATTGAATTTAATCACGTTTTTAAATATATGTTAAATAGATTCAAGCTGTTTTTTAAATCTTTAATAAAAGGCAGCTGTAGCTAACAGAGCTAGAACACGGCTGAAAGCCCACCTGTGACCTGTTTCTGACGGAGTACAGACTAAACTACAACATGTGCATGATCCTGATAAGGACAGTGAAAAGAAAAACCAGTTGCTTTATAGTTATTTTTGTAAAAGTAACACAAGGTTACATTGAATGAAGGTCAGTCGGGTGCTGAGAGGATAAAGGCTTTAACACAAAGCTACAAACACATAAAACTAGTAATTGTTATTTCTCCACATAAAAAGCCTTCTGTTTTCCTTACCTGCTTGAGGAATGAGAGGGATTCTATTCTTGCTTTCCTTAATTTCCTTCCATGTAAGAACAGCGCGTGACAGAGCAACTTCTACCTGTCTGTTCTTCAGGAAAAGCTTCGATGATATTAGCGAGGGTTGTTCCTCCATGTTTTCGTCCCGAACTCTCGTTAATTACACCGTCCCGACATTACTCACGACCAGCGTAACTACTGAACGCACTCAGCAGCGTCTGCCTTGCGGTGGTGGCGCGTGCTGTCAGGACAGAGGCTTTAAACAAAGATCCTGTGAAAAGGTAATCACCCACTCAACTGCAAGGGATATAAAAGAATGACCCACTTTCGATGCAAGTTTTAGACATGTCAACGAATATCAAACATAATTATTTTCATAAAACAGAAACTCAGTCTGTACGTAGTTTTATTGTATTGAAGAGACTTTAAAACTTAAACGGAGGTATAACATGACTTGGAGTTTTCTCCCTTCACAGAATACACCCGATCCATTGCAGTGGGAACTCGAAGCGGAGTAAGTGCTCTTCATTTTTCTATCTTCAACAGGGAAACGAACTTTTCCTCCGACGCTTCTCAACTTCCTAAAAACGATGACTGTAAGAATTTATTTTGTACATAATGATGACCACATAAAACACAGTTAAAAAACAACTTAGAAAATAAAGTTTTTAGCTAAAACATTGACATTAAAAAACATAAATAAATCAAACATGTTTTGCTATCTGCCAGACCCTGACCAAGCCCACGGAAAACACCTTAGATTTGGGGAACTATGTTGTCAAATTAATTCCCAAACTGTAACAGTGAGTTAGAGCTTGTTTCCTCACACAGACATGGAGATGATAGACAAATGTGAGACAGCCACAAAAACTCATTAAAATGTTATAATGAATTAACCAACATTATTCTCTTGAACAATGTTTAATGTATTATTTACATCTAATTTACAGCCAGTGCATATGTTAGTGCTTCTTGTATTTTAATATTTTTTGTTCTGAGTAATATTTCTGCAAGCTTGTTGAAAAGAACATTGGCGTAAAATGCCAAAGTGCTACCACATCATAAATCAAATCAAATCAAATCAGCTTTATTTATATAGCACTTTTCAAACAAAAAAAATGCAACTCAAAGTGCTTCACAGATTCAAATGGCCCCATAGATCCCATATTCCCATCCCAGCCCCCCTCCCCAAGTGTAAAACAATTGACAATTACGGTTCCCTCCCGCACCCAACTTCCAAAGTGGACATACAATCACCCAGACACTCGTCCACACACACACACACACACACACACACACACACACACACACACACACACACACACACACACACACACACACACACACACACACACGTGAACAACAGAGGAAACAATAGGGTGAGTTCAGATGGGTCAGGTAATGAACGACACATCATCAGCGGTGCCATCTGCCCTGACAGCAACAGATCCACGGCAGCAGCCAAGACACCGGCCCATGACGCCCAGTGGGGGAGGGCAGAAACCCCCACGACTGCCCGGGCACTACCCGAGGAGCGCCCCGGCTGCCGCCGCCGACCACCGGCCCCAAGGCAGAGGGCTCCGCAGAGGAAACACTGGAGGATTAAAATATATAACTGTAAAATAACAAAAGCTAATATGGATAAAAAGTAACTGATAAAAAGTGATTATAAAGATAGTAAAAGAAAACATAATCACGTAAAAACACTAAGATGTAAATAAAATGATAAAATTAATTAAAAGAGATAAATATGTATGTACGTATATACCGTAAACAAATATGACAGACGATTCAGTTAAACAGACTAGATGAATAGTAAGCAGTTAAAAGCTAAGCTAGAAAGGTGGGTCTTGAGCCTATTCTTAAAAGCCTGGACGTTTCCTTGGCCCTGAGGTCCTCCAGCAGCCCGTTCCAAAGGCGAGGGCCGTAGTACTTGAAGGACGCAAAGCCGTGGGTGAGTCTTAACTTTAGGGATAACTAGGAGACGGCTGCAGAGGAGCGCAGAGACCGCGAGGGTTTATATAGTAAAAGCATTACTGAAAGATAAGAAGGCCTAAGACCATTAAGACACTTAAAAACCATTAAAAGAACCTTAAAATCGACCCTGAAACATACGGGGAGCCAGTGCAGTGATTTTAAAACCGGAGTGATGCTCCCGCTTCCTGGTCTTCATCAGGACACGTGCTGCTGAGTTTTGTAAAAGTTGTAAACCTGAGATGCTCTTTTTGGGAAGACCAGAAAGCAGGACATTGCAGTAATCAATTCTACTGGTTATAAAAGCATGAATTAGTGTCTCCGTATTGGCCCGACAGAGAATAAGGCAGACTCTGGCGATATTCTTAAGATGGTAAAAACCTATTTTTGTGATGTTTTTAATGTGGGGAATAAAAGTCAGCTCAGAGTCGAAAATAACACCCAGATTCTTCACTTGTAGTGATGGATAAAAAGACATTGATTGTAGTTTAGGTAAAAGTTTCTCTCTCTGGGCCTCAGGACCGATGACTAAAACTTCAGTGTTGCCTTGGTTGAGCTGGAGAAAGTTTTCAGTCATCCATGATTAAATATCTTAGATGCAGTTAAAAAGTGTTTCCATTGGCTGTGCGTCATCAGGAGACACGGAGATGTACAACTGTGTATCATAACCACAATTCTGATCTCTTAGCTGATTCTGTTTTAGGTCACTTTATCAGAAGCATCCTGTCAGTGTCACCAAAGATACAATAAATGACAAAGATAATACAAAAGTTTTAAAAGGTGTAAAAAAAGTCTGACTCGTTAGGAGGAATTGTAAACACGATTTATTTTACAGTATTTGAAAAAAAAAACAAAGCAAAACAAAACAAACACAAAAATACTTTCTACACACTCAATATCCTACAGAGCTTAAAAAAAGAAACTGTACCGATGGCCAGGCCTCTGGTCCTGATGCTGGTGGTCTCTCTTGATTGACACCCAGCTTCTGTCAACAAAGCAGAGAACCGCGCAACCTCACGTCAGCAGACCCTCAAACTGCTGAGCCGCACAGCTCACTTGTGATTGGCTCACAGTAAGAAAATGTGGCTTCAGCCAATCAGAGGCGCGCTTACTCTCCGACCAGTCGGTACCAACATGGCAGCTCTCTGAGTTTTGGAGGAAGGGAGCTGGTGTAAATAAATACAGTTTGAACGTTTTAGAGACAACGACATAATCTGGCTGTTTGAGCCTGGGGCTTATTGGACTGCGGGGGGAAAATGTCGAGTGACGGAAACAAAAAACAGTTTTGGAAACGAAATGCAGCGAAGGTTCCTGGCAGGTAAGTGACGTGTTACCTCCTGTTGGCTATCTTAGCACAGTTAGCTTCTCTCTGTTGACGCTGTCCTGTAAAGCATCAGACGCAGCGTTTCTTTTTGTGAATGATATCACCATCCTTCGCATATTAAACGGGTTTTAATTATGTAACGTGACATTGTCTGGTAAGTTATTCAGAAAGACCGTTTACTCTTTGCTTCTGGAAGCTGTGAAAGAGCTACCCGGCTAACAGTTGCTAGCTGAAGAGAATTTTACCCTCAACGTCACAGAAAGAGTTGAAACTAACATGTTCAACTGTAAGATACTTTAACCCACGTGTTGTCTTCGTAAATCGCAGTCATGCATTTAAGGTACGTGCTAGAATAAATATAGGCTAACGTTGCTAGCTAGTGGAGGTAGCTCATTCATTTACATTGTGTCTTGTTAACTTTTCCAGCATTCAACATGTTTATGGAGCACAGCATCCACCTTTCGACCCTCTTCTTCATTCAGAGTAAGTTTAAAAATCTTGCTGGAGTTATTTGGTCAGTTGTTTAACTTGTCAGCTTGCTCTGATGAGTGGCTTTTGTTCTTATATTGCAATAACTCAGATGTAAAATCAAACCTTAATTTCTTGTCTCTTGATGGCGTTTAACTCTCATAGGAAATGTTGTATCAGCTCTAATTTTGATTTTAGAGTTTCAGCCTCATAACTTGTAGATTTAAGATGTCAAAGTCAGGTGTAGGTGGTGTGTTAACACCTGACATACAAACTGACAGTGGGCTGGGATGTAAGAGAAACTGCTAACAGTGTGAAACGTCACCATCTTGTAATGCAGTCCCATTATGTTTTGTTAACACCATGTGGTCCTTCTTGTTCTGCAACACTAGAAAAACCGACTCAACCAGAATATTTGTTTCAAGGTTGAATAAACACTTGTAGTGGTAAAAACACATGACAAAAAATGTATTTAGACATTTGAGATTAAAAAATTTATTTCAGAAGTGTCCTGGTCAAGACACTTATCAGCTCATTCGGCACACCATACAGCAAACATTTCACACATCACAGAAAAACAAAATAAAGGACATTAAGGTGGGCAGCCTTTCAAACTAAAATGGAATTGGGTGATGTACCTGGTGGTTTTGTTCAGCAGATTTAATGATTCAAAGCATTTACATCCAGGTCCTGGGGTGACCAAACTGTGGGCTTCAAATGCAGAGAGACATTCGCTTTGGAGATAATGGCTGCTTTTTCACAAATGTAAAACAAAATGCACATCAATATATTTTTAAGAGTAGACCACAACAACAATACAAAGTAGGAATGTCCCGATACAACTTTTCACTTCTGATACGATGCTGATATTGTAGCCTTAAGTATTGACCCATACCGATATCAGTCTATCAGAACAAACCATTCATGCTTTTACCTATTTCATTGTGTGGAATGTATTAAAGGCTTGGTCAAGTGATATTACTCAATCGGAGAACAAGAGCCAATAACATTAAGTTTGAAAAAAAAAAAGACAATTCTTTCTTAACCATTGGTTGCAAAAATGTGAATGTTAATAGACTGCTTATATCGGAGATTTTTGATGCCGTCTGATATAACACTATTTTTGGGCTGGTATCGAATTACTTCCAACATCGATATCGGAATGGGACATCCCTATGTAAAGTATTCATTGTTTGCGCTTTTATTTTCATTTCATGGTAAATGGGACCACAAACAATGACCTTTTTTTTTTTACTGTCAAGCTGATTTTTAGCACCATTCATAAACCTGGTAATAAAAGTGACCCATGTCATGTTCTTGTTACTGATTATGAATTATTTGAAACTTTTCAATTCAATTCAGTTGCTTATATCGGAGATTTTTGATGCCGTCTGATATAACACTATTTTTGGGCTGGTATCGAATTACTTCCAACATCGATATCGGAATGGGACATCCCTATGTAAAGTATTCATTGTTTGCGCTTTTATTTTCATTTCATGGTAAATGGGACCACAAACAATGACCTTTTTTTTTTTTACTGTCAAGCTGATTTTTAGCACCATTCATAAACCTGGTAATAAAAGTGACCCATGTCATGTTCTTGTTACTGATTATGAATTATTTGAAACTTTTCAATTCAATTCAGTTTATTTATACAGCACCAAATCACAAGAGTCACCTCAAGGTACCTTACAAAGTAAATAACTACAAACTAAAAAACAAAAAACTCCCATCAAATCCATAGAAATAAATAATTTTCTTTTGTTGAAGGAAACAAGCCTTTTTGTCTGACATCTGGAAAGATTTAAAGATCCCTTTCTATAAGAAACAAACAGTTTGATCTTTTACTAAAACATTGCTGGTTTTTCCACTGTTGATCAGTTAAATATGATTACATATCACCAGTGCTGAGGACAATACTTTAAAAACATAATTATAGTTACAAATTACTAACTCAGTTACTTAGTTACAAGATCATTCAAGTAACTAATTACCAAAATAATTAAAGACAATTTAGTTACTTTTTTCATAAAAGAATGCAAGAAAAATGGGTTAGTGTCTTAATTAAACTGACTTAATTTACTATAAGAAAGAAAACACGCTTTTCTATAGCGCCTCTCAAAATAAAAATCACGAGGCACTTCACAAAAAAATATATAAAAAATGTAAGGAAAGAGAGATAGAGAAAATGAATAGGAAATGGGGAAGTCAGTGGATCCCGGGAAAGGCGGATCAGGTAGAAAGAGCAGAATAAGGAGAGGGTGGTGATAAACGTCACACAAAAGTTTTCTGCTGCTTTTTAAAGGAGACCACTGAGTCCACTGATCATAGGTCCAGGGGGAGAGAGTTCCAGAATTAAATAAATTACTACAATATTAAAATATAAATGACTAAAAGACTTGAACATAATGCATGTCCAAATGTTTATTATAAAACGGAATAATTGAGATAAACAGGCACTTAACAAAAATAGAAAAAGATGTAAAGGGTTCCTGGGTCTTTCAGTGTAGTTAAATTACTGAATTAAATATAATTTTGCAAAGTATTCAAATTTTTCCAGTTTCACTTAAAGGGGCATTATGGAAGTTTGACAGTCAAAACATGTATAGAAATAATAAATTTCTTCTTCATACATTCTCCTGCAATGCCCTGGTCCTGTAGAATGAGCCCTGGTATTTTTACTGTGATTGCCTGTTTTTCTGTAAAATCACAGAAAAAGAGAGATGCTCGGGTCGTGCAGGCTGCTTCATGCGCGTTCACGCTCAAGCATAGCCCGTAGCATTTGCTATCCGTAGCTTTAGCAGCGGCAGAGAGAGGTAGTGCCAACTCAGCGACTTTGTCGCTGTTCCTAACGCCTAGTGATGAACCTAGCTACATTTCTGAGGACCCTTAGCTACTTTCTTCTAGATATTTCCAGCAAATTAGCAACAAAATAGCCATTTTCGCTCCAAACCGTTCTTTGAACGTTGTTTCAGCTGTCATCAGGAATATAAATGTTACGGATACAAAAGACGTCACTGGTGCTTTAGCTCACCCAGTTAATCGGCAGACTCACGTGCGGAAGACCCGGGTTTCGATTCTGGATGTGAGCATAATTTATTTAGAGTTTATTTTTTACATTAATGGTGTATTTTTTTTACAGTAAGATGCCCAAATTTTTATTTGAGACTCGCCGAACGGCATTGAATTCACAGATAAAAAAGATGTGGGTTCAACTTTCATTTTGGAACAATTTTTCAAGCGCGGGAAGGGAATGATCTGAGCATGCAGGAGGTCTGACCCATCATAAACCTTTGTCGGCTGTGCTGAAGAGAAAGGTACAGAACCAAATTATTTAATTAATTAGCTGTACGTTCTCCTGTCCTCTGTCCTCCGGGCCACACACACACACGGGACTGTCTCAGCTGTTATTTTTGTTAAGGAGTGTGCACGTACAGCATGCACGCCTCGTGCACGAGCCTACTATTGAAGCTGCCGTTACGCTTTTGGCCTGAGGGGGCAATCGCGAGCATAAAAATTCAAAACTCCGTAAAGTCCCTTTAATTTTACTAACTGGCAGGGCTCTGCGTGGCTTAGATGAAATATTTTGCTTAACATACAAATTAATCATGTGTTTTGTATTAGAAGCAGGGCTTCATTTGTATTTGGTCACAATTCTGTGTGAGAATTACAATAAACTTCAGACTTTGCTTCATTTAAAGTACACCTCTGTCTCTGGTTCATGTTCATTTATTTAATCCTCCCACTGTCCTAGTGGCTGTGACCCCGCGAGGAAAGTTGACCATTGAGCAGGGTTGATGGTTTATCCCTTGGGTCCATGCGACAGGGGTGAGGAGTGAGCACCACCTCACCCCTGTCACACGGTCCTCAAGGGATAAACCATCAATCCTGCTCAATGGTCAGCTTTCCTCGTGGGGTCACCCATGAAGACAGTTGGAGGGTTAAGGGATGGACTCTTCTGGTTTATTCAGTTCAGTTTTTCTGACTTTTTTTTTCTTTCAGTTTGTGAATAAACTGAAGCAATGAGTTCAGGTGCTTCTTTTTGGGCAAATTTACTCCAAAATGTGTTAAAGAAAACCAAAAAGAAGTTGTTGAATTTTCCAGCATGTTAGTGGAAATCATCTGGTTTGGGCCTGCTAAGTAGCGTTTGTCACAGCTTCACGAGATCAACTTCCTGTTGTACAAAAGAAGAAGTGATTCCACCAAACATCAGCAGATGTGGAGATATGTTTTAATCTGTGGGTTTCCCAACAGCAGAATTTAAAATACACAATAGGTTACTGTAAGGAATAAAGTGCAGCTCTATAAAACTACGTAAAACTGGATGAAGATAAGAGCATGAAAATATCCCCAAACCTGTAATTTTTATGAGAATGATTTGATTGTCTTGTCACATTTCTTTTTCATTTCCACCCATTCTACTATGTGTGTCGTCTAAACCCTTTCTTGTGTCCTCTGTGTGTTCACGACGCTCTTCTGTCTGTGGTTCAGCCTGATGAAAGCAGGTAACAAGCCACCTCCGGCCACACCGGGCAAGCCCAAGAAAGCCACCACTTTCCAGGAGTTTGAGAGCATAACTAGTGATGCCTGGGATGTCGGGGATGATGACGATGAGCTGCTCGCCATGGCTGCCCAGAATCTTAATATTGAGGTTGTCATGGAGACGGCAAATAAGGTGAACTGTTAGGTTTGATTTGTCATCAAACACTCAAAGTATTTCTCACCATTATGCTCACTAGTTATCAAATGTTTTTATGTAATTTGGCTCTAGTGAAATGTTTTTAAATGTTTTAAATAAGTTTAGATTCTTGTTAATTATTAAAAACACTTCTTTACCTGTAAAATGTATTAATTTTGTATCTCTAGTGTTGCTGTTTTGCATCACTTCTTGCTTTTCTGTGATTTGGACAGGTGATAGAGAATCACAGCAAGCAGCAGGAGAGGCAGAGACACGATGACACAACTGAGATTGGTCAGAAGGATGAGAATACACAGGAGGAGATGGCAGAGGAGGAGGAAGAGGATGAGGAGGATGAAGATGCAGATGCCCAAGTGGAAGAAGGAGATGCAATTAGTCCAGACGTCTCATTCGCTTCCCTGAGCAGCCCCTTTGGTGATGGGCGTCTTGTGAAGTCCCAGAGCGAAGCTCCAATAGGGTCACCCAGGGGTGAGTGAGACTTTACCTGGTGCAAGATCATTCAGATGTTTTTTTTCCCCTCTCTCTCTGTTTAAAACCGTGTTGAATAACACGAGTCAAAAGGTACACCTGCCATATTGATAGAAGACCCCCTTACACATACTGGTGCAACATCCAATGATATTTTTATGCAATTTAACTTGCACAAGCAGGGTTTCCCCCAGCGCTTTATAAGCCTGGCGGCCCACCAGGCTTTGCTTGCCCACCCGCCAGGCTAAGTGTCATGCCCCGCCCCCCTCCCCGACCTACCGGGTCCGCTGACACGAACGGCGCAAAGAAACTAGAGCCCTCTATCAGCTGACACTGGTGAGAAACGGCAGCGGAACGTGTGCAACCACCCCACCCCCGCTCTCACGGAGGCTACACTACGCACGACCTCCCGCTCTCACGGAGGAGCGCGCGATCCCCCTCCACTGCACATGCATAACAATACATTTTCTTCACACCAACTTCCTGTTTTGATATTCAGACTCCCATAGCAGCTCTTCTCTACTTTTATAGCTCGCTGTCTGTTTTTTATATGACCAATCATCATTTAAAACAGTTTAGTTTAGTTAGTTTGTGTTTACATGGGTTCTAAACTAACGTCTAAATTAGGGGGATCCAAACTTTTCAAGACAAGGAGCCAGAATCAGAGTTAAGTCGTTGCAGGCTGCAGAAATTTAATTTTTTTTCCCCAAGTTAAAAAATGTAAAAAAAGTTTTTATTTTTTGTGAATGGTTTTATTTTTACTGCTCAAAAACAGACATAAAACATAAAAGTCCAAAAAGTGTCTATCTACATCGGTTTAACTATCAAAGAGCGGACTGCATGTCGGACATGCCTGGTCTACAGTTTGGCATCTTTAATGTTGGCCTGCATCGATTATAGAACAATATCTGTTACCATGTTCTCATAATTATTCGTAATTCTTTATCACCACTTAACCACACAACTCTGCCACCTGCTGATGTAAACTAGTAACAGCAGCATCTTTAAAATGTGGAGTTAACGAAATCGAAAATCTTCGTTATAAAACGATTTTTCACAGCATGATCCATCAGCGGTTAATTTATGTATTACTGAAGTTAAAATGAAGGATGGAAGTCTGTAATGAGGTTAACACACACGCCGTAATAAACAGTTTAGTGTTGAGTGGGTTTACTTTAGACTTAAAAAAAATTTTTTTTTAATCACAAGGCCACATTCTCTGTGTTTTGAAAAACCATATTACCCAATTGAATAATTTATTGCAATTACTACATTGACCAAAATATATGTAATTATGATTTTTTTAAACCATGATTGAGTTAATTTAGCTTTAGTTAACCAGCAGTGCTACTGGGGCCTCAATGATTTTAAGACTATTTATCCTGATTACATTATTATTTCAGTCTGCTCTGTTCAAGAGACAATGATCCAGACATCAAATAAACATCAGAATCTGTAAATGAAACAAAACTGTTGATCTTTTTTAAAAAGGCTGAATAATATTTATTAGTTTTTAGTGTTGCAATATTAGCTGATATTGATCCGTCTGTAATTTTTATTACATTTAGTTTTTGCCTTGTGAGCCCAGTGACTGAATATTCTGTTGGCAGGTCTTTTCCTGTTTTGACTGCTGCTGTGTTTAGATACCAGCAGCACAAGGAGGCCTCAGCCTGGAGGCAGGTTCTCTTATCTCCTTAGAGAACTCAAACTCGGGAACTTGTAAGCAAACTGATGTCATTTGTAGAGAAACAAGATCATACTTGTCTTCTCGTCTCTTTGATTCGATTCAGGGAATGTTTGATGCTGTTTGACCGAAATATAATTTTTACCCTGAACTTTAATATTCAGTTTGGTGCATTGTGATTAACAGATGCACATCTTTAACTACCTCTAACAAGTTTTTTTTTCATTAAACCAAAACGTATGCAATAGACTTTATAACGGACTTAGGCTGGCTCATAATGCTCCACTGCAACGGCTGCAGCCTGCTTTATTATTAATCTTTCTAATTTCTGTAAGTGCAAATAAAGCACTTGAGCATGCTAGTCTTTTATTTGGTGTTGTAAAAACCAAATAGATAATAAAATGGCAACTTGCCAGTTTTAACCACTGAAGAATATGTAATGGAAGACATTGTGTCATTTTGGTCTAACAATATAAACTGTTAACGGGGTCCGTAGTGAATTTATAGTAAGTGTTCAAAATGACAGAAGGAAAACGCTGGTCCTGACATCACCAGCTTGGTGTTTCGCTGTGCAATTTATTGACTTTCAAATTTCTATTTCAATTTCCACACAACCACCTTAACTATGTAATTGGCAAAAGATATAGGTAATCATAAAAATATGAACGCATTTTGTCACCTTTTGCAAGCATGATCTTATTTTGTCTTGATTTCTGAAGGATGTGGATTTCTGCTCCTTTTGAAAACTAAAGCCTGATTGATACTTCTCCGTCTGGATCAGTACAGAGACATGCAACGCCGTTGTGCGTCGATAGCAAGGGCTCTGTGGCAACCCCGCAGAGAGTCATGGAGACATGCCCACTTTTTTTTTTATCTCTCTGTAAAAATGGCCTGTATTTGATAAAATGCCTTCTAGAGTCCTAGAATCCCCCCAGTCATTTACCCACTCACACACTGGTGGTGACGAGCTACATTGTAGCCACAGCTGCCCTGGGGCACACTGCCAGAGGCGAGGCTGCTGAACTACTACTACTAATCCCTCTGACCACCACCGGTAAGCAAGGCGGGTTAAGCGTCCTACCCAAGGACACAACAGCAGAATTCTCTGCCGGAAGCCAGGATTAATCCGACAGCAATTACTGTTCAACCCACTCTACCTCCTGCGCTACTGCTGCAGTGACGAAGACCGCAAGCCTGTGATTGGTGAGGACACTGCTTCCTGTAAATTCGTCAACCACACTGCCATTCCACCACTCCACAAAAATAAAGAGTGCCAAAGATATCTGGCAGCAGACACGGAGCAGATTGAAGAACATCTTGTTAAAAACGTCAGACGATATAAATGTTAAATGTCTGCGAATGAAGGAATACAAAGATACGCAGCATATCTGTGAAAGGAAATCACGAGAAACGTGGGTTTGGAGGTGGTGGCTGCATTAATGGGTAGATGAGAATGATGGACACATTTGTTTGTGTTAAAGTCTCTGAAATGTATAAATAAACGATAGTAAAATACACTAACGTGGACCTGTAATGGTGGCAGGATACCCCCAGAAAAGCACTATGCCCTCTTTTGACCTGGTGGGTTATTGCTCTGCAACACTCAGGCATCAGAGAAGTCCAGAAGGAAAACGTCTCTGTCAATGCATTGGCAAATCTTTGAACTTGAGTTGACAGAGAAGTATAAATTAGACTTAAAATGACTTCTAGGGGCCTGTGATTTCTGCAATAAGGAAAGCACAGATTGAATTGTGGAATAAAAACAGAAGATGCAGAATTTAACGTCTTCTTGAAGTCTGTGATTTTCCCCACACTTTTCAAAGAGCCCATCTCATTATCTCTATCTTCATCTTTCCTCCAGATGTAGCAGGTGAGCGAGCGGCCCTCCACAGACAGCGATCTCTACCCCACAGACCGCCTGTCATCCCCTTAGTGGCCCGCATGGCGGACCAGAACACATCTGGCACCCCAGCCATGACCGAGAGGGAAGCATCCCGTCTGGATAAATTCAAACAGTTACTGGCAGGGCCAAACACTGATCTGGGTAAGTGTGTGTGTGTGTGTGTGTGTGTGTGTGTGTGTGTGTGTGTGTGTGTGTGTGTGTGTGTGTGTGTGTGTGTGTGTGTATTTGTATTCTGCAATCTCGTGCTATCTGATAGTTTGTAACACACATTTGGCCTGACTGGCATCACTGTAGCTTTGACAGGCTCTTTCTATCTTTATGTTCCTTTAGCTTTTTTTTTTTTCTCCATTTCTTTTTGTTCTCAAAGCTCTTTCACTTCTTTATTTCCTTGCACTCTTCTGCTTCTCACTCTGGCTGCCAGCTGTGCTTTGCTGTTAACGATGCTGTGAGGGAGAAAGTCATCCAGCCATCTGGACATGCAGATTACGTGGGGGAAAAGCCACCCGCAACAACAAAAGCAAATGACAGGCCTTTGTTCTAAGCAAAGGACAGGCCTTTATTGTTTATCCAACCCCAGGGACTTTGCTACCCTCGTGGCCATGAAACTCTTAGAGTTTTCCCGTCGCAACTCACTTTGAAACTAACTTTTGGGAGCTACCATTCTCTGACTTGTTGCTTTTTTGTTTCACACTTTATCACTTTAGTCCTCACAGTGCAGATGCTGACTTTGGAGATTTAGGCCATAACTAGTCTTTATTTTCAGCTTGTGACAGCAGCAGCCTTGGCTCTGAAAAGTTATACACCGTTACTTTACAGTTGTGCTTGTTAGAGGTTTTCTTTGGCCGTAAGGAAAGGCAATGTCTTCAGAGGCAAAGAAACGCCACGTTTCAGCCAGGCATGTCCACAAACTAGACCATGAAGTACAGTAGTAACTATATACAAACAAAGAAAAGTTTACAGAAACTTAAGAGCTTCTTCTTAAATATGTATGTAGCATTCTGCAAAGAAGTTGCATGCTTGGCCCAAAGAAATGGAATTACATAGTAGTTTAAAATAATTTCATGGTTCTATAATACAGAACTACATGGCATTTCTAGAATAATCACATTGGGTCTTTCTTTTTAAAATTTACCAAGAGTCTTCTCAGTACTTGAATCTGTTTTGTTCTGCTTTCTGCATTAAGACTTCCTCGTCTGTGTCTGTTTTAAGATGTTTTAATTCCAACTTTGTTTATCTGCATGTTCAGGCTGATCAACAGGGTTTGGACAGGGCCGATTCTTATAAAATAGAAACATTTACTGCGTGGTCTGAGTCTGTTCACACAATTAACACGAGTTAGTGAGGGACAACTCAAAAGTAACGTCACAGCTTAGCGCCCAGAAGTTGTAAAGAGCACACCCACAGAAGAAACCACTGCACACACTTAACTGCTGGTGGTTGCTTTTGTATTATAGATTTGACTGGCAGCATCGCTCATTATGAATGATTACTCTACAGTTTTATGACACAAGTATGTTTATAATTATCTAGTAAGGTTGTGCCCACAAGTCCGAGTGTCACACCTACCTACTCTCACGCCACTGTGGTCAGGATTCAGGTGCCTACATGAGTGATTTTGTCAATATCCAATCTGTTTCCAATCCTGTCTGCTGCCATGTTTATTTAAATGTGGAAATGATACCAGTTAAATCAGTGGAAGAAAAAAAAAACCTGTCTTCATAAAATCCCACAAAGTTCAATATTTCTCAACGTTTTTACTGAAGTGTCATGCATAAGACACTTAAGTCGTGTACTTTTAGGACAAGAAAACATTATAATCATAAGTTGGTACTGCTTTATTTTCTTTTGTGGGTTACTTTAAGTTGTAATCCGAATGATAGCAGAGCCTAAAATGTAGAATCAAATGTTGTATTTCATTGATAGCCTTCTTCAGCACACTGCTTCACTCTGCTTGAGAGCTTTATGAATGACGCAAAGTGGTTAGCAGCTCATCTCCTTTAGTCAATGGCAGTTGTGGCCGGTTCGAGCAAAGTGTATCTTTGACCATCAGCAGAGTGTCTTTGAGCCATCAGCCCCCATTAGGGCCTGCCAGACTTCACATGCTGACTGTCTAAATTTAGTTTAGTCTCTGTGCCATGATTAGATAGGCCAGAACAGGCGAGCCATGCTGCCGGCTGCTGGCAGCATGAAAGATGAACCTCATTCACGGGACATAATTAAGTGAAAGATTGGAGGAGGGAGGTGCAGAGTGGTGATAGGGGAGGGGAGAAGGATGGGACAGATAAGATGAGATGAAACTTTAATGATCCCTGTAGAGAAAATGGGTCATTATTGGACCCAAAGAATGGGACACGGAGGAGGGTGTAGAAGTTCTGAAGATGAAATTACAATCGCTTGAGAGCAGATTAAACGTTGTGTACAAGAACACTTACAGACAGAACGAAACATTTATTTCTAGACATGTTTGTCCATTTGAACATTTTACAAGTGTAGATTGCACACGTTTGGAGAGGTTGAGAAATACCTGCTCTGTCTGCAACAACTTTTCTGGATAACATGGAACAAGGGATGAAATGGTCTGAAAATGTGAATTATGATGATGATATGGTATTTTAAAAGCAAGCTGAACATGTTTAAAAGTGCTTTAACAAACTGAACAGACTTTTTATAGTCTGCAGGACAGATAGACTAATATTTTGTATTTTTGTGTTTTTATTGGACAAAACTTTTAATTATTTCTTTGATTGTTAATTTAGGTCAAAGTTTTTCTTTTTTTTTTAAAGAGCAAGTTCATCGAGAAACCGTTTTTGCTTGTCATTCTCGAAATAAGATTGTTTACTCTGAGTTTCACATGCAGGTTGAACGTGAAAATGGTCTTCTACAACCATTTCCTGTATTAGCTGCCAATATAAAAATACCTGAGAAAGCCCCGGTCATTAAAAGCCAGTCAGATCTACGTCACGCTGTAAATTAGCATTCATGGACTCACCCATATTGGCTCACAATGAGGTGGTGTTGTTGGTTTAGCATCCAGGAGAAGGCAGAGAATGTCTCAGCTAGTAGAAGTTAACGGTTAGCATTAGCAACTCCATCCCATGGAAGAACTCCTTCAGTGGAGGAAACATAAACTGCCAATTGAGCTAACAATCCCACTACATTAGGTCACTATTTTATGAAATAAGCATATAAGGCCTTGCCACAGATTGTGATAGGTGTCTGTTTAGCATGCAATTTCGTTTGAAACAGAGATGACCCGAGTGTGTGAGACAACAGGATGATTGATGTCAGATTGAGCTCTAAGTAGTCCTGATATCCTGAGGTGAGTATCAGTAGATTGAAGCTTAAAAATTCACACACTTTACGGTCAATAAGCAGAAGAACAGTTAACTCGTTCATTGCCAGCTGTTTCCTGATCAGAAAAACCCTTTTCAACGTTTTTCAGCGCTGTCACTGTTTTGATTGACTGATGTCAACGCCAAAACCACCAAAACAAAGAAGAGACTCACCTTTTACATCAGGAAGAATCCGCGCGTATCGAGCGTTATCCGTGCTTTCATAATACGTTGTCGAATTGTGAGCAGCAGATGCTGTTCCAGTTCGCGCCTCAAGTTGACAAGTAATTAAAATTGTGCCCACATTTCTAAGTTAACAAACGTCTCCTCAGTGGCGGACGGTAATCGGGAGAAACGGGAGATTTCCCGGTGTCCTGGCCGTTAAACTGGCCCGCTCAGTGATTGCCGGTCATGATGTGCGTAATATCTAAATGATAAATCCGTCATGCAGCTCATCAGGGCATCTGCTGTCCTGATGCTCGCACAATCGGAGCAAACTTGGCAAAAACACCCCCCCTCCTCTCACTTTGTCGGGGTCTGGCCAAGCGCTGCGGACACCCACCACCCCAGAGCGGCTACAGCACCACCGCACCTTTGGCCCCGGAGGCAAAATGGACCTAGACGGACCAGGAAAGGTGGAGCAGAAAAGGAGAGATTGAAAAAGAAGAAAGCTCTGGCCACAGATGCATGTCCAGGCTGGCCTGCATGTGGTCATGTTGGGAGAACCGGTTTAAGGTGGAGTTTTTGGGCCAGTTTAATTATCGCGCAGCGCGCAATGCTGGGCACGTGGGGTGGGTTAGGGAGGGTGAAACGGCGGCTGTCAGGAACGGATCATGATGATCAGGTTCTGATGATCAGATCATCAGACTCATCCTTTAGGGACAGAGAGCAGTGCTTTGGACTGATACCAGCACCACCGCCACTTCTAAATATAACCTTTCAGCACTTTTTCTACGGTACAGTGCATACTGGTAAATTTTACAGGTATTCAGGGGTGGACATTTAAAGGGCCCGAGCACCAATGGCGCTAAATTTTCTCGTCGGGCGGTAAATACTTGACGACTTACCGCCCGGGTGGCGCCCAAGCCTTATTTGTCATTTACACACCGGCTTTCACCTACATCATGGCCACGCCCTGTAGGAAGCCGCCGTTTTCGTTTCGCGCGCGTGAACCTGCGCGCCTCTAGCCATGTACTGCACGTACTGCACGATTCTAGTTATAGTCACGTGAACTATAAGTTCACTATTAAAGAAGTGAAACCACGCTAGAAACACACAAGCATGCAGGAAGATGGCGCCACCACAGGGATGGGATTTCTTGATGAAATCTCCGGCAAAACGCTTTAAAACTGGTGAGGAGAAGCGAGACAGTTCGAAACGGTATGAAGCAGAGAAGCGTGTGCGTAGGTGGAATGATTCTTGGCGGTTTAAAGACGACGGGAGGCGCAGAGAATGGCCGTGTTCGAGTTGAGCAGCGGCTCGCCTGGAAAACAGACGGAAGCAGCAGGGGGAGTGGCTGAAAGCCGGCGTTTAAGTCGGACAGATTTCCCTGCATGTGTAGCTCGGGGGTGATGATGGCTGAAGATATTGAGTTAGCGTTCACACTTGTTCAATTTTCAATTTAAATTCTGGTGCCTGTTAGCAGCTGAAACACATCCTCACGTGCTTGTGGATATCATATATTGTATATGAAGACATGACTGTAATAATAAGTAAAGGTTATCAGCTGTAGCTTCAGTGTGCTCATAGGAAACGTGACAAAAGAAAACAAAACACATTTCTCTTTATGACCTATATAGTTGTCATCAT